GGGCGGGGGGGAGGCTGCCGAGGGAAGGGGGCCAAAAGGGCGGCCGGGGGTGAGGGGAAGAGGGGGTCGGTTTGCGGCGGCACTTTCCCTGACTGACTCCCTGAATGGTGGGGCCTGCCCGGGTGGGCGTGAGGGGAGGCCGCGGAGGCCCGGAGGGGTCCCCAGGGACTAGCAGGTCGGGGGCCTTTGGTGCCCCTGCCTTAACCCGAAGGTGCTGGCCCTGGAGTTTTCTGCCGCTGCTTAGCACTGGGGGAGACCCGGAGGGGGAAAGGTGGAGCTGCTTGTGTTGGACCTTTCAATGCTGGTAAAGTCTGTAAAGGAAATTGAAGTGAAACTCCCAACTTAGAGCCCTAAACTTGAAACTACGTCCACGTGCTGAGGTCCGCAATGACTGGATCAACAGGTAGCGGCACACCCCTGATACCCTTCATAGCCACAAGAAATTAAAAAGTGTAAACTGAAGTCAGCAAGGAATGCTAAATATGTTGTTGCCTGACCTAAGTAGTATCTGCATGGGGCAGCAAGTGCTGCAGTCTCCTGCCATAATGTTATTCTACTGCGTGTTTACGGAGCATCTTGGCAAGTGTAAACTTGCGGTATGGAAAGCAATGGTGAACCCACTGCTCTCGCACTTCGCAAGAATGTAAATACAATCCTGTACTAGGCATCACAAGGTATTTTTATTCTATTTGTGACAATTTAAAGTATAGGAAGGTAAGAATCTAGCCCAAATGTAAGACCTAAATATGTCTTAGAGATGCTACCTTTTTCAGTTAGTGTGCATTAAGACTTGTTTCTTTCTCTCTTTTTTTAGTCTTCCAGCCTTCATTTATCCATATGTCAGGGCCCAGAGTCAATTCGTTTTTTCTTGGAAATTCTTCAGGAGTTAATTTTTCTATAATTTTAAGTCCTATAGATGAAGAGACAGGTAAGAACACTTCACCCCCCCCACCCACCCACCCCCAATGGTAAGTAAATAAATGTTTGAACTTGAACTATTAATATTTCTTTGACACTAAAATTGCTGGAGAAACGACAATGCACTTCATTTAGTGCTTTAATAGTTACTGAAATAGGAACTCCAAAGGACTTCTGCTGATTAAGCCCTTAGTCCTCTGTTGACTCCTTGTCAGCTGGGCCTGAGGGTATGCCTACTTGAAGGCACAAGAGGAGTTTAAATTGTACTTATTTTCCAGTCTTTTCTAAATTACATTGGAATACTTTTAAAATGTTTATTTTGATACAGGAAAATCGCAACTTGCAAATTGCAGCGGAAGTAAAAGAGCTAGTGACTGGAATTTGAATGTAACATCTGGTATGGTATGTAAAATAGTGATTCTTCCCTGAAATGGGAAGGATTGAATTGTCATATATTAAGGGCTAATGAAATACTAGCAAAATGTTAATGTACTAACAACCCAGTTTGAATGTCTTGCCCTTGCCTTTCTTCCTTGACATATCCCTTTGTGTGGATGTCCTTGCTGGAGTTTGCTGATGTGCAGCTTTGACACTGGTTCCTTGTTGTCCTCCTCCCCTCCAGAATTGCCTGTACTTCCTGGCTGGCTGTAGCATTTGAGATTGTTTCAGATCTGCTGGAAGGATCTAACAGAAATAAAAAAGTAGTGGGTTTATACAGCATGAGCTCTGGAACATCTGTTTTGTTAGACTTGCCTTCAGTGTTATGTTATACATAATTCCTCAGGGGTTTTATCAACTCTGCAGTCATTCTAGTTTTCAACTGAAGGTAGCTGTAAAAACTGAAATTCACTTTTCAGTATTTGTTCTTTTCTTTAGAATTGCGCATATGATTTCTGAGGTAACTTAATCTGTGTGCATGCCTTAAAAAGTTCTGTGTACAGTTCATATCCTCACTGTATTTGCATATCTCAGTAGCAGACCCTTTGTCATTCCACTCTCAACAAATGTCCGATTTTATATAGGAAGAATATCATTGCATTGTAGCGCTGACAAAACACAGTGGTACTGAAACTTCTCTTTTGGAAGCTGGTGAGTGGTATAAATAAGAGTAATTTAACACAAGCCGTCAAAGCTGTCAAACTTTTTTTTGCATTTTTTCAGAACACTTCCAAAGCGACTATAAGCTTGACTAGAAATCTGCAGTTGTGTTTGCCAAATGCCACTGACTGCTGCACAACACCTCTCTGCGTGGTTGAAACACTTCAGGTTTTAGCTTGCCGTGATTCAGTGATGTTGGCACATCTCCTGATTCAAGCTGAAATATATGCCAACTCTTCCTTTACAGGAAATGTGTCAGGTAAGTGTTCAGATACGCTAAAGAAGAAATGGCGTTTTGGCTGTTCTTTCCCTCTATATATGGAAAAATAAAAACTGGGATTTGGGCAGCAGTAAGAGATACTGAATAATCATTAATGGAATTTAACAAAAGGTGTGTACACAGTCAGAATAAACTGCAATGCGCATGGTCTATTTATTTGGATTCCAGTCCATTTTATCTGCTTTTTCTCTTTTTTTTTTTTTTTTTTTTTAATTCTTTTGCAGAAAATGCGACTATCATCCCAAACCAGGTGTTTCAGCCATTGGGCTCTTGTCCTTGTGACTTGACAGCTGGAGCTTGTGATGTTCGTTGTTGCTGTGATCCGGTACTTATTTCATATTAAACTTTGATTAAGAGTTTCAGAATTTCTAGGCTCTTTCTGTTGTCTGGGGAGAGAGAGAGGTACTGAATGCTTCAGACTAGATGGGGCTAGAGGGCTTGTCTGGATTTTCCGGTATTTCTAATAGTAAATATGACCTCTCTCTACAAAATTGGTTTGATTTACCTGTAAGTATAGAATCACAGAATCATAGAATAGTTTGGGTGGGAAGGAACCTTTAGAGGTCATCTAGTCCAACCCCCCTGCAGTGCGCAATGAGCAGGAACATCTTCAACTAGATCAGGTTGCTCACTATGGCTATAGTGCCTATGGTAATGCAATTACTGTGCTAAAAAGTGACCATTCTTTTCCCTTTCAGGAATGTACACCAGACTTGAAGCAGTTATTCAATGAATCATGTTTCACTGGAGTGTTTGGTGGGGATGTAAACCCACCTTTTGATCAGCTGTGCTCTTCTCGGTCAATGGAATATACCCCTGATTGGTTTCCCTTCCTTTGTGTACAGTCTTCTCTTAACAATACACCATTTCTTGGCTACTTTTATCATGGCTCCACGTAAGTCTTAAGAAAACTTATTTTCTCAACACACGCATTAGGCGTGCTACCGAAAATATAACCTGTTTTTATAATGAAAGTTATTTTGAAATTGGAATTTTAGGGGGTGAACTTTAAGTGCAAATGGAGAAATGTCATCGGTACTATATAAGAACACAGGACATGAACGCAAATATATAATTATTTGTGTGAGGTAGAGAGCAAAGAATTGTTTAATTTTTAAACTTGTTTGCAGTTCTACACCCAGAGTTCCTCTGTTTAAGATCCCTTTACAAACTTCTCCTGGGAAACTTTTCACTGGTTACAGACAAGGAGATCCAATTATGACAGAAGAAAATGAGTATTTTACCATTCCCCAGGTAATCACTTCATGTTTAGGAACTTTTGGTTCCTTTTGGATGTTTGATATTCTCCATCTATCATGCTCCTTATGGCTTTGTAACCAGATTCTGCAACTTGCTGTTGTAAAGCGGTGGAATATATTTTTCACAAAAAAAAACCCCAACCCAAACCCACAAAATCATTATTAAAAGTAAACGTTATCCTTCCTGATCCCCCTACCTATCCCCCAAAATGGTAATGTTTTAATTATTTCAAGAGATAAAAGCAAGCTTGGCATCCCAATTACTAGTTTATGGCTTACCATATTTCTGTATTTTTTGGTTTGCCTGCTGCATTACGGAGCACTATAGTTGGTTTTTCCTTTGAATCTTAGTCATCTGATTGTACTGTTTTCGAATTCCTTTTGCATTTTAGAGAGACTCACTGGTTATAATTATTTTGACAAATCAGGATGAAGCCTTACTGTACGTTGAAACTATTTTGAAAGCTATGCTTTTTAAATTTTAACCTCTCTCTTGCTACAGATTGAGGTATTCTGATAACATCAGATTACTTGTTTGTCAAAGTGTCATGTAGCTGTAGTACTACTTGGAGCATTTCACTAACAAATAGTCTTAAAATGAAAAGCAAAGGGCTAGGAAAGGGTCCAACATACTTACTTCTGTTGAATTATCTGCAGCAATCCATGGCTGGACAGTGTGTTGGAAATGCCCCTGTAGCGTATCTCCAGAACTTTGATGTCAAATGCCTGACCAATCTAGCATCTTACAAGGAGGGACTGCCCCATGACGTGAGGATAAACAGTGGTGCTGGAGGTATGCTCTATAAGCCCTAACAGAAATGTGTTTTATGTTTCTCAGAGCTGCTAGAACAGAACAAACCCGAGGGCTGTTGGCACGGTAGCTACATGTAATATCTTTGTTATCTGGTGGCTGTAGTTCAGCATTTGGAGATGTTCTATTCCTGTTTCTGATGACCTTCCAG